GGCCACGTGTTACGCATACCAGCCCACCGAATCCCGCGACGTGCGTCGTTTGCGCGCCGGGGGTGTGGATGGAAGAAGAGGAGAGGTGACCAAACGATGACTTGCTCGAGAGGAATGAAGACCCTCATTTCTGAGCTGACTTCGGTTGGAGCGTCTCGGCTCCCTGTTTGGGGTCTGAAAGACGATGAACACGTTTGGCTGGACACACTTGTTGATATGGCTAGGAGCCGACCTCAGTGGCGTTGGTGCTGTGAGTTTCTTTGTCCCACCCCATCCCTCTTAGCCTCCCCTCCAACCACAATCTCATTATTTAGCATTTCATAATTTTTCATAGTAATTTTTGATGTACAGTATTTGGCTGGTATCTTACCGGAACAATGCCCATCCGTTACCAACAGCTCAGCAAGCTTGCACCTGTTGCATTTTATTCTCTTTTTTCTTTTATGTATTGCGACACAGTAGCTGTGGTGTTTCCCACCTCTAGCTAACGTGTATAGTGTGTGTATGCTCATTTCTTCACTATTTATAATTACATTTTTCTGGTGTCTGTTGGATTCAGCACGATGCTGCTATCTGTTTGAGCTGTTTGTTCCGGTGGCACGTTTTGCATATTCAGAGTCGTGACTGCTGCGGATTGTGACGATCCGTTGCTCAGAGACTGCGCCGCTCAGGGTTTGCCATTCAACCATCGGCTTTATGCGATTCCATTCGGTGAGTTAATGAGATCACCCAACTGCGGATATAACAAAAGATACTCTTTCGTCGTAATTGCTTATTCATCTTCGGTTTGCTGCTAACGCCATCGTTGCCCCACTGATCTCCCTAGATCAGGTCTCACCGATATCGCTGCAACTGCTGGAGATTGTAGCTTGCAAATTAGGGGATTTGCAGTCGATGAGCGTGAACTCGGTCGGTATAAGCATGATGCTCGCAGCTTAGTCAGCATTGATCATCAGCTCAGTCTATCTCCACCTGATGAGCCCAAACCAGGACGAAACCGCGGTCGTGGTGTGACACTGTTGGGAAGAGCAACACACAAATATTTCCAAGTATTGATCATCATTTGGAACCTGTGGAAACCATGGTTTTCTTTCTAGGTAGCCGTATCACCTCTGGTGGTTGCATCCTCTCAGTAACTTTCGCACATATAGCTAAAGCTGTTTTTTCTTTTCGAAGCCTCTGTCTCTTATGATTGAGACAGGCCTTTTACTGGACTGGTCGCCGACGTGGCTGTTGCTCTCTGAGTACATTAAGAGTCCGACCCTTTTTACCCAACGATAACTACGCGGCATTGCACTTATCTATTGGGCGCATCGAGTGACTAATACGGTTGTTCGTCATCTGATGTCTAGCAGTAGACCCTCTTGTGCTTCATTACACTACCTGCTCAACTTGAGCCGCGTACGCTTGCTAGCCGATGAGCTGTGCATCTCCACAAGCTGGGTGCCTTGGCGTGCACTATTACTCAATACCACGCCTTGTTGAGTGAAACTCCGAAGTGGTTTCAAAGTCAACCGAGGACCCACAATTGAGATTGCGTGTCGCACCCCAAGACACACGGCGGGTGTTTAATAACTGTCAATTAACTTCTAATCTCTGTGTCAAGCACTGCCTGCATAGCTCAATGGTCTAGTGGTCATGGTGAAAACCGGGTCCCACTTCGAACTCACGCTATCTCTACCTCATGTTACTAAACAAAGACGAAACACGTCGCGGAGTGCAGTGATGGGAGACGGCAACACCGAAACCCTCCAATTCGCTGACGGTCCCAGTGGTCGGAATGACAGCGGCAGAATTCAAAATCAACCGAAGCTACGATTGAGATTAGGTGTGGCAATCCAAGGCACATGGTAAGTGCTTCAAAACCCGACAATCAACGTCTAGTACTTCTCCAACTGTCAACGTTAGTCACTGACCGGGCCGCATACAAACGGTTGCTCACGGGAATCCACAATCAACAATGATGATACAATCTTGAGGCTGATCGTCCGGTCGGCGTCTCCGGATGCGTATAACCAATAGCGAGAGGACACTACAGACGCAGTTAGTTCAACAGCCACATGGGTGTCATTGGTCCGTTTCGGACAAGCAACACACGTCAGCATTCAGTGTGTCGTCGGCTGGTGGCCGAAAGGATTGTACACCTGGCTTGCAATCATTAGGCCACCTGTTCGCATCCGTATAGGGGCGAGCATCATCGCGCTATACTCAGTCCACGCACAGCCGGTGTTGGTCGCGTTGGCAGTGAAGCGTTGGTACAGTGTGCCGGCGTGCTGCTCATGCTTTTCTTTTTCAGCGTGTCTAAAATGCAGGCGAAGCCTGTTGATCTCTTTTTAAAGCCCAATTTTCCGCGAAACGCAGAAAAATCGTGAAATTTACTAACTGTCATGGAATCGCTGAAAAGATGAAAATTCACGTAGGAAGCTACTTTGAATTCGCTTTTCTTCTAATCATTATACTTGTATGCGGAGGGAATGCCAAAGCAGCCAGCTGGCTATTGGAACATTCCTCTGCAGTGTCATAACCGCCATCTGTTTACCATCTTCCATCTAAGTCCTCTTTTCCCCTCATTCACTGCTATGACCGCCGTCTTATCCCTATACTAGTGTTATCCATGCATCTATCCATTACGCAATCATATCCCATCTGTCTGCTCACGCTGTGCATTTACTCTATTGTCGGTTACACAAACACCGTTTGCCCACATATACATTAAAGCTGTTCGACATCTGTTCGTCTACACCTACACATAACATGCCGACACAAAAGGCCCTCCATTACGGTCACCCGCGAACGGCTTTCGTGTCCGATGGTGCAAGATATATAACAGTATTCTACCGAGATGTCATTAAGCCTGTTTGTAAGGATCCACTTCACATTAGATGTGATGCAATGCATCAATTTGCTTGCAGAGGCTCTTCGTAAATCCTCTCCGGAAGTCGATGGATTCACTGAAAAAATCAAAGTGTTTTTCATCTTCCCAAAAGAAAGATGTTTGTCTACATTGAGTATCTAAATCAGGATGGGGTGGATAACCCGACCGGCCCACCTGCAATGGCCATCACCCGCTGGAACTCCTGGTTGGAAGCTGTCGCACATCACGAAAAATATTTCCATCATTACGCAGCCATGTTGAAAGCTGTGCCACATGAGTTTGGAGACTCAGCTGGTGTTTTGTACTTGTGGATATTTTAACTAACGAAACAACATGGAAATCTTTGAAGTGACAACTGAGTTACGTTGCGATCGTTGGCAAGCACATCATCCGCCACTTGAAAACTGTCGAACCACAGTCTCCGGTAATCCAAAAGATTTACGACCTCTTATCCATCCATTTCGCAGAAAACTGCCGCTGAGGAAAACTGGCTGCAGCATCTACAGTCAGAGGGGCGTCCAGCAAAATCCATTTGACATGCAACTCTCCTGACCTACCACAAAAACCCAGGAGTTGCTGACACCACAGGCTAGCTAGCCGTTTTTGAAAGCCATTAGAGTACTCGACTTCAACCAGCTCATCACCTTGTCCAGTGATCCATGCAACTATACTGACGTTCCAGGCCTGGTTGGCTCCCCAGCTCTGGCATCCGAATCGCTTATCTATCGAAAGTGGTGGAGAGAAATGTGAGGACACGATGACCTTCCGGGACGGGACGAATGAAAATACTCACAACTGGTAGACATTGCCGGCCGTTATTTATGCATTCCTGTGAATTCGGTAGATGCTGAACGGAGCCTCAGTAGCTAAAATGTGTCTGATTAGCGTCACAACCTTACGGACAGTAGCACGAAGCACCTTGTGCTTTATTTTATTTCCTTTGTTTTGCATCATGACTTTATATATATATATATATATACATATATATATATATATATATATATTGGTTGACGGTGCCTTCATTTCTGCGATGAAATCACAGAATATTATGGTTGCGCCGCGGAATTTTCGAGAAATATGTTTCACCACCGCGAACAAATAGGACCTTTACCTATTTGTCTTAGGGTGCGAGCATCGAACGCCGTTATGGATACGAGACAGCATAGCCTTATATGGGGCTGTTGCCAATTGGCGTCCAGTAAATGGTGCGGGAAGACAGCTTCACGCGGTAGAACTACAGTAACATGATGATTGAAGTCCATAAAGCTTGTAAATATGGTAATGGGGGTCGGGAAGAAAGTAAGAAAAACAACTGGAAAAGTAGGAAGGGAGGCATCAGCAGTAGCATGTTTTCACTTTTCCGTTCTGCTGTATGTAGCAGGTGCGCGACAACAGATGCGGGATACGGTTGAAGTGATAGTTGTTTGTGGGTGAGATACTACTAGGACGCCAAAACCTAGACAGGAGAACGATTAGGGTTTTCTACCGATGCATTTAGCTCAAAATCCTGTCCGCAGGGTGGCACTGAGGTGGCAGCGATTCGGTTTTTCGCAAATGGACGCCATACCATTTCCAACTTCAGTGAGGGGGGGGGGTCAGGAAACTGAGTTCCTCCGACCTCTAATCATTGATCAACCTGGTAGGAGTATCTTTCAAAAGCCTCGGGGGCGCCCTCAGTATATCTCCATGGATTGAAGAGGTACGCAGCCGTCGCATCACGTTAAGGTCTAGTCACTTTCGACGCATTTGAACTAATCGAAGGGAAATAGGAGGAACAACTAAGTGACTAACGCATAAATTGATCCGGATGTTGGCACTTTATGTTGTGTATAGCAAGGAGCTCCCGATTGCCGGTTTTGGAGTCACGTGCACCTCTGGTTGGGATGACTCATGATCTCGGCCGAGAATTGTGATCATTGATGTAAATGTTACGAAACTCAGCCATTGTTTGTTGTTGTGGCACTTCTAGATGTACACTTGTCCATCGAGTGTTTGGTATTTGAGTAAGTAAATGAACATACAGCTGTGTATAATTCTACTTGTTTTTGGCTCCCTGTGATACCTAGCGTTGCTGCTCGCTATTTTGTGTCATCTCTACCGATTTCCATCCCATTTTTCTCTCAAGGATAAATCGAGGGCCCCAATATCTGCCAAGTTGGTAGCAAATATGTTATCAGTCGCCGGAGCCGATCATATCATCACGATGGATCTTCACGCGAGTCAAATCCAGGGTTTTTTCGACATCCCAGTGGATAATCTGTACGCTGAGCCAGCGGTGATTAAGTGGATCAAAACCAATATTCCAGAATGGAAGGACTGTTGCATCGTTAGCCCCGATGCTGGAGGCGCTAAACGGTGGGTTCCGACAATGCGGTTCGCCGATTCTTGTGTGTATGATGATCATTCGCATGATGATCCTTCACATGACCCTCGCTTATCGTATATCTTCATACAGCTTCTGTCTTCAACTGGACGGCCCTGCCGGATTTTCTGCGGTGTGTCAACCAAAGATATCTGTTCACTGTCCCACCGGTGACAGGGTAGTTCACTCTCTTTTGTTTTTAATCCACGAGTTTCCTCACAATACTCCACCCTTCATTCGTGGCGTCTGTTTGAGGTTCTAACGTAATACTGACTCCCCCTTATCTTTTTGTTTCACTTATTTCGCACCCGATGTGTATTCGTTGTCGTTGCTTTAAGCTACCTGTGTTTGTCACACTGATTTTGTTCTGTTGCCACGCCATTCATTTTCATTATATACTTTATCCTTTCTCCATGAACACAGGGTGACATCAATCGCCGATCAACTGAATGTAGATTTTGCCCTGATCCACAAGGAGCGAAAGCGTGCAAATGAAGTTGATCGCATGGTTTTGGTCGGTGATGTTACGCAGCGTGTCGCAATACTTGTTGACGACATGGCCGATACATGCGGCACAATCTGTACGGCTGCTGACAAGTGAGTTCACCTCTGTACTGTTTGAGTCGTCCGTGTCTGCACCGCACAAATCTGTTTGCACTTCATAGTGTGCTGTTTTCTTGCAAAGTCGATCATTCTAGTACGCTGTATTCCAACTCATCTAATTCACTTGATATGCAGAGTCCATTTGGTGGCATTCTGTTGACCTTTCTGTTGTTGAAATCTTTATTTTCACGACTTCTCCCAAGATACCTTTCATCAAGGTTTTGTGAACATTGGCTTGAACAATATCTAGGGAGGCACGTACGTTCACCTCATATTGCATTGCCTCTATTCTGTACCAGCGCTTATGAAATGTTCCCGTTTGATGGTGGTACCGCATAACGTATGCTGTTGCTCGTCCTGTTGCTTTTGGTGACGAAGCCTCTGGTGTTTCATTGGTTTGTCTAATTGAGTTCGAATTGCGTGCACCGGCTAGGTCGTGTGCTCCGCATGTGTGCAAGCTAACTGCCTCGGTGTGTTTTCTTACTCAACACTGCGCCTAATTGGGCTAAACCCCGAGATGAGAATAGTCTGCTGAACTAAGTGGTACCATATTTTTCATTTTCAATTTCTACACTGCATGGTTTCCGAGACGAGATGTCAGATGATTTTTATCTAGTCGCAAAAATTTACATGTGCTTATTACATTTTGTCTGCCAAACACCTTATCCCGCCGGAAAACTTCTCTGACTTCCAAACACCCCAGTGTATTCACGCAGTTGAATTGCGCATTTTCAAGCTCTTCGCGGTGTAATCACGCATTTAGCCCTTATCTTCACCTGTTTATTATTTCCTGCATCGTTTTTTAAAATAATTTCTAGGTTAATTGAGGCGGGTGCTTCGAGAGTCTACGCAATCTGCACCCATGGCATTTTCTCTGGGCCTGCCATAGACCGCATAAACAATTCCTCTTTTGAGTCCGTCGTTGTGACCAATACATTGGATCAGGAAGAAAACATGCGAAGGGCACCAAAAATACAGGTGAATATGATCATTTTACTTCTTCAAGACTTTTCCATGCTTGCTTTATCAAGCTCCTTTCTCACCGTGGTTCCAATTCTCGGGCAACTGCTCTGGTGACTGTTCCATGCATCGCATCTTCTTACCGACACCGCAATAGAACAAACATAAACGGCAAAGGTCCAGTTAGACAATCACAGAGTGCCAGACAGTCGTTTCTTCCTTCTGGGACCCACCATTAATGCCTATCCAGCGTATACTGCTACATCCGAATCCATGACTACTGTTACTAGCTAACGACTTAAGGCACTGAGATGACGGCAGTAGGCAGCCTTGACTTGTTACTAGCTAAAATATGGCATTTGTGGGTTCGGATCCAGTGGGTCCACGTTTCTTTTGAGTCCCGGTAGAACGAACTGGCTATCCAGTGTCTTTCGGACCATCAGGTGGTTGACAATGATGACCGAAGCCTCATGCATGCTGGAATGATGTCACCACATTATTCCCTCAATACTTGCCATTGCCAGCGTTAAAGGAATTGATCTAGTACACTGAGTTTCTTGCACCTAAATAGATGCACTAGGGCAATGCTGTACATTTTGCATCCACCAGCGCTCATCGTACAGCACCAAATCAGCTTCGTCTTGTTCTCTGTGAACACCCACCCACATGTGCATGGGCGACAGCCTTCTCTACTTTGGGCACCAACGCAGATCATAGGGCAGTGAACCTGGGTCACCTCTGTGATCGACGAGCAGGTGTCTTTTGAATTGACCTCGCTTTGTTCCCCTCGACCTGAGGAGGTCATCTCATTAGGTGAGGAAACGTTTGCAAACCAGTTGCCAAACTTGGCAAACGTGTAACCCACAACGATCGACCCGAGCTACCAGGTTATTTTAAACATGTGTTTATTATTGGATCTTGGAGTACCAGCCATGTCGAGTTTATACGTTGGACGGGAAAATCTCTGCCTTCCTTAACGCTGGATATTGTGTAACGAAGTACAATCATTTGCGACGTAGACGATTCCGATATGTTTTGTGGTGCTGTCTAGCTGCTCAGAAATAAACAGAACGGTCATTTAGTGAAGCATCACTGTAATGAGACTTTGGTTTTGTTACTCACCTTTTGCAGGAAGAGGATGCTCTTTTGACTATATTTACCAAATGCACCGAAATCTAGGTCATTTTTCATGGACTGTGTGCATCTCGATACGCCTGACCACTTGCCTCTACTTCGCCAAAACAATGACGATGATAATTTTAAAGGAATGGACAAGAATTCAAATCACCTTAGAGTCAAGACTTACGGGACGAAAGCAATAGCACCATTTGTTTTGTGACTGCGACGTATCTACTGTTGTGTTTAGTCACCTATATGGCCGATTCCGAATGCTTCATTCGGAAGCACAACAGACGCGAACTTTCGATGAGTTTCTACACCAATTTGGAGCCATGTCACTGACTGACAACACGGCGGGTTTATGCAGTTAGTCTTCTTAATGGTGTGTATTGCATTCCTTGATAGATAGACATAGGAGGAGCATGATCAAGCTGGCGTTGGTGAGTCGGGTTCAACGGACACTAATGTTTCACCGGAGTTTGTAGCTCGACTACAACTGACAGACTATGGTATTACTAATTCAGAAAACCAATGCGTATAAGCAATGCTTCGCAATAATCAGTAGTTAGACGCAGTACTAGCATATTGGCAATGTCTATAGCCCTCGCAGTAACGCTGGCTGCACCACAGTATTGTAAGCTCTTCCCACAACAAGTGAGCTTCTATTTGACTGGATTTGAAAAGCCACACCAACCTTACTTCTTGACGGCTGAGGTCATTGTAGTTGATACACTTTAGTAGGTCGGTTGATTAATTCGTGTGACTGCTAACTTATCTTGTGAACCACTAGCGTCCCAGCACATCCTGGTTGCGCTACTTCGCAATTTGGGCATGCAGAGCACATGCGGAAGCGCATATCGCTGCGCATCATTCTACTCAGCAGTTCTTGCATTGCAGCCGCGTTCAAATCAAAGGAAACTTTGTTATTCGCGTGGGATATCAGGTCACCAAACAGTCTTCGGTCACGACGTTAGAGAAAGCTTATCGCTTTGTACCCCAGCTTTGACGGTTTTGCGATCTTCTTGTTGGCTTTACACATAGTTAAAATTTAAATAAGCCACATATGTTTCACCGAACCCCCATAGTGATATATTAGATGCCTAACTACTCGAAGTGATGCAGCCACCTAGCTTGACCAATCGCTTCACCAATTCTTTTCTTTGCACAGGAACACTTGTGCTTGTCCCTACGGATGTACACTTCGCTTTGACTAGCAATACTGTACCGCACCCTTTTTGTCAGTGCTTGAATGGCGGATGAGTTTTGCGCAATCAGCACATGAGCTAGTATGTACTCAGGGTTTATCATTCTACAATGACATTATTTCGTCGGTTGAGTGAAGCAGTATTGTTCTTGAGTGAAATCAATTTCAATTACCGAGCAATAAAAGTATAGCATAAGATCGATAAGGCATGGATGTTTACAAACGTTTGGTAGGTAACCAAGCAGAAGTCTTCCCGGAGTTCTAAACCGACGTTTGTTTAGACAGACCATGGGCGAATGGGCGCAGTGAAGGTAAGGGACGCATTCCAAACACGCACACTGCACCATCGTCCGAGATAACGCTTAGGCGGCTGGCTATGTACGTATCACTGCTTTCCTCTGTTTCCAGCTATTTAGCCTGAAAACGGTCTACCCGCCGGCGATTGCGGATTGATCTGCGCAGCGGGTCTTCAGCCTCAGGTGGTGAGGAGTCATTGGCACACAGGCCATCCAACAATGGATGTGGGAGTTTGGCTTACAGACTGACTCGAAATTCGACGACCATGGCCGCGATGTCGCATGACTTCGTCGTCCACAGTCTTTGCCACTACAAGCTGTCCGTTAGCTGTCTTAACAACAACGGGCTGCTATCCGAGTTCTGCAGACGAACGTATGAAGATTGGATCTGACTCTTACGAGACTGTCTTTACTGCGGGCATCAAAGTGTTCTTTCGCTCATTCTTGTATAGTCGCGCACTTAAACGACAACCGAACATTAGCTCCACAGGGCTTCTTTTGGTCGTATCGTTCACCATATTCCTTATGCGAAGAGAGCACAATCCAGGCGCACATACACTTGTGCGCTCGTTTGTTTAGGCAACACGTTTTTCATTGTTTGCACCGCCCTTTCTGTCAACCCGTTTGACGATGGGTGATAAGGAGCAGTAGTCTGATTCCATTTGAAGCGATGAAGGCGGGAAATTCGGCGGTAGTAAACCCAGATCCCTTCTCCGACACTAGTGTTTCGAGGAGTCCAAAGGTAGCGAATGTCGTGCGCAGTTTAGTTATTGTGTTCGCTGATGTCGTTTTGGCACGAATGTGAGTATTAATTCACTTAAAATGGGCATCAACGACTAACAGAATTATCTGACTTTCGCATGGACCGAAGTATTCTATTTAGACAAGTTTACAGAGCATTTTCTGACCACTTTCAAGGCTGCATCGGTATACGTAGTGAGGTAGATCGAGCTTCTTATTGTAACATGCAACATCCAACCTTTGTCGCAGTGTCACCATCCAAATCGGTCCACCGTATATAGAAACGTGTAGATGCCTTCATTTTGGCAACTTGGTGCGCATTGTGAAGTTCGTACAGGATGGTTAATCGTAGTATCTTAGGGACCACAACTCATGCGCCCCACAGTAAACACCTGTTCTGGAGACTGAGTTCATCATCCTATTGCGAAAACGTATAAGTTCTACAGGCCTGTTCTGGGGCCATACAACCTGAGCGTAACGCTTTAAAAGTGCTAATAGCGAATCTATCGGTATCCTGACCTATAATTGTGGACGTGGCCGGGGGTTTATTGAAAAACTGAATTAGATTTGCAAATTCTTGCGGAGTAAATTCCTTTAAGGGGATTTCCGGTGAAGGAAGTCAACTGAAATCATTAGTGGTTGTCTCCTGTCGACTAGGGATGTGCTGGATTTGGTTTGTGTACATGGATATGATGAGGGACCAGCGGATCATTCTGAGTCAGGCCATTTGTCGAATTTCTTTTTCTCATCTAAAAAGCTTATGGTCTGGGTGAATCACGTATTTTCGGCTGAGCAACTACTGGTGGAATCGGTTGATACCAAAAATAACAGCGGCTATCCGTCGTTCGAGCTGAGAGTAGTTCCTTTTGGCTGCGGCTGGTTTAGGTTCATGAGACGTAAGCAACAGATCGCTACTGGGCGTCAAGTATTTTGTGTAGCGATACAGCCCCAAGACCTTGGGAAGGGTCATCACAAGAGAGGACAATCGGCTTTCGTGGATCATAATGTACAACAGCGAGTGCCAAGTTTTTTTTTACTGCGCTGAAAGCATTCTCGTGAACTGCGTTTCACTTCCACGATTGGTTCTTACGCAGAAGCTGATTAGGCGATGTGGCTACGTTGATTCTGATAGTATAAAACGGGAGAAGTGTGTGATTGTTCCCAGTAAGGATTGTAGTTCCTTTAAATTTTTGGGAGCAGGGGCTTTAGGTATCCTCTATGTTTTCGCTTCTAAGGGATACAACCCATAACCATGAGTAATGCATTTTACTCTGTCGCCAAATTGTTATGTCAGATTACTACATCGAAACAGTGGAAGCGCATGCATGTGTACAGGAGTTATGTATATAAGCAAGCAACAGTTCGCGCTGAGTTCTAAACCGGCGTTTGATTAAACAGGAAGACCATGGGCGGCCAGTGGGTGCTGTGAAGGTAAGGGACACATCACATGCACGCATCAAGGCACATACACTGCCGTGTCGGCCGAGGTAACGCGTATGCGGCTGGCTGAGTACGCATCAATCTGTTCTATGACAAATTCAAGGAACAAATAGGAAAATACTCAGTCCTGACGAGTCCCTCTCGCTGTGGTGACCTGGTTTTCCGTGAACTACTGCGCATCCCCGGTATCCACGGCACAGGGATTTTTGTGTATCAACAATCTTCTCTGAGGTAACATTATCGGATGAAATGTATTTAACCAGAGGCGGTCTTAAGCGTATAACACTGTTTTTACCTTCCTTCCGGGTTCAATTAAATGCTCTGCACATCGTGCACCCTAAGTGGAGTTGTAATCGGTCTTCATCGCTTTGATTCATCCGACGACCGATGAGCCAATGTTGCCGACTGTTGCGTTGATGATTTGTCGCGTCTTTCAAAGGGGGAACGACTGCCAGGTAGCTGGTAACCATTGCCTTTCGTAAGCTATTGTTGGCTCATAAAACAGTAAAGATACAAAAGCCTCACCTTACTTGTCACTCGAAGTATTCGAACTTCCGCATTTCGGACCGATAGGCGACAAATTGGACTCTCAGTGCTCCCTGGAAGGCTAGTTCAGTCGGCACTGGTTTCATTCATCTTCATCATTGACAGTGCTTTGTACTGGACTATGAATTCAAGTAACTACCGGTCATTCTGTAAGCTAAACGCTTCAGTTAAGGTCGACATAGTGTGCTGTGGGCATCAAGAATCCATCGGAGTCATGGTAGATGAATCAGTTTATTGAATTGAATTATTCGCTACATTCTGGTACCTTGCCTTCAACCCATCAGCGGAGTGCAAACTTCCGCACGTTAACTACTTTTAGGGATTCATTAGACAGTAGTAGAAACGCGAATAATGCATCCATCAGTAATGTGCCCCGAGACGATAAGCCGATGGTTCATTGAGATCCTACAAATCCGCAGTGCTATTTAGTAAATAAGCGACAGTGCTGTGAGCGCAGAATTGGGGTCATCATTGCTCGTTAACCTTTTTAGGATATCCTGAAAGTGAACGTCATGATAGACCCTTAATGTTATTAGCGCCCTTGTTGGGTTACGATTATCCTCGCCTGAACGGACGAACTCCTTCACTCTTTGGTTCTCACGCGCAGAGTAGCCTGAACGATTTGTATTGGAACGGCTAGTGGACTTAGGCGGAAGAGGAGAACTCCCAACTGATATGACAGACGGAACGCTTAACGCCGGACGATTGTACCGAGATCCGCAGAAAGAAGGCTGGCCAATAGTAAGAGTGCTTTACTGACTCAATCAAGGCCACCGTGCTTTCTACACCATATTTATAGTTCATTAAAACAGTAGTAATTGTATAAACTATAAAGGAAGGCGTATATTTGTTGTTACATGAGTTGTCATGTAGTGGTCCTATCTGCGGGCAGAGATGGGGTGGGTTCTATGCTGTTAAGACGTTGCTGAATGTGCTTGGTGGCATTGGTATGAACGCAACTCAGGAGGCAGACTGTTGACTTTAGGAGTGTCCGGGAGATACGATACTGAGACTGGGGCGAGTTCATTGGGAACTATGCGGGATACGTTGGCTGTACTCTCACTAAGGACAACTCCGTTGTGATCTGTGCAGATGAGTGGGCCCTTGGCGGCAGTTTCTGTAGGGAGATCTCCGCTCTGAACTGACTTGTTTGGGTCTCTGCATAGCGACCGTGTTGTTCAGGCCCGATTGTGTACTCTCGCCTGTGAAACCCGGGTGAGTTTTGCAGGGCTATACCAGCGCTATAACACTTAGTTTAACGGACTGTTTGAACATATGGTTAAAATAGGCACGGTAAGCAGTTGTGGTCGCTTTCCGGCTGATTTGGGTTCATAAAATATGCGAAGCGAAGCATAGAAACCGCATAATACCGTACGTTGATGGAGTTCTGTGGATTGATTCTGCTCCCGCCTAGCCGTTATGGATTGTCGGTGCTGCACCCGCTTTTTCCTGTCACGATATTCAGGCCCAGGTATTTGGTTTGTATCTTCTCTACTTCTAACATTTTTGGGTTAATTTTGCGTAATTTTAAGCACATGTGGCGCGTGCAATTTCGCACACGACGTATCTTTTAGTCATCATTCTGCTTTTCTATTCTTTCCACCGAGATTTTGCCGCTGTATTCTATCACCATTTGCAACATAGAGCAGAATATCTGTAATATCAGTTAGATGGCATCTGTTATAATTCCAAACTGGGGTTTACTCTGTCGCACAGTTTGTGGCACATTCTCTTCTCTACATAGTTATTGCGCTGTATAACAATACTCGCACTGCTCTCAACACTGATTTCGCACCATCACTTCTGCCTGAATTTCTTCGGCCAATATTTTCTGGTTTACTTACCATCTATCCGGTCACCTTATGTTGTGCGTATGAAGTTATTCAGCATTATTCTTATCTGACCTCACTCTACCGCCTGCATTTTTAGCTCTATTGCTTCCATCCAACATAGCCGAGCAGAATAACGAATTGTACCTGTTGCTTTTCAGTGCATCGACGTTAGCACCATGCTGGCTGAAGCTATCCGTCGTACACATAACGGAGAATCTGTTTCCTACCTTTTCAACCATATCCCGTTGTAATGCTCCCCCATTGTACTTGAGCTACTATAAGATCTCTATTACATTATTCGATCCATCACTGTTTTATGGATTGTTTGCATCAAACGTTTTGATACTACCCATTTGTTTGATAAATTTGTTTTTGGTATTATTCAGTAAATACGAACAGAGATGATGCTCGTGTCTGTTATGTGTACCGCGACGAGACACGCACCATTTTAAGTGACGTTAAACGTTTGCTCGGGCATATTGCACACCTGGCACATTGGCGTCTTCGCAAATGGAATGTTCACAAAGTCGGGAGACCCATTTCAGTTCTTAACTTGAGATCAGTCTCTGTCGCTCCATATTTCGTACCACATTTCATCGCCTTATATGTGCTTGCGTTTTCACACCTTTAGTGGATGCGCGCTTCAGATTCATGACCAGGTCACATATTAATCTGCTTTGTTACAGGAGCACATCGAGCCCCGAGTTTACTAGTGTTATTGCTTCCAGTCATGTACTTTCATGCAAAATGTGATTAATACCCCTGCAGTGACTTGTATGCAAATCTTCGTGAACACGCTAGAGTATCGCTTCATTCGACACCAAATACACTGATCAGTTCTCTCTCTAAAGGTGAATTGCTCGTGAACTCAAGGTACGAACCATCTGTACCAACGCGCGCCGGCCTAGAGCTGGTCATCAATCCTTTACCTGTTGGCGTGGTGCTTGTTAGCCCGTAGCATTCGTGAATTGACTAGGATAGGGGAACCTGGTGTGCTATAACTCGTAATCATCCTTACACTACTATTTGCACACTACTCTTCAGTGTGCGACCCTCTCTTTCTTATTTCCGCCGGGAACAGATGTTACAGTAAAAAACCTTCCTTCTTATTGATAGCATGATTCCCCGTTACTTCAAACTACTTTAAAACAGATCACGCCCCAAACTGAACAAATTCATCGCAACGCAACCGTGCAGAAGGAATTCACATTAAAACACACCCAAAGGTAGATTGTTTGTCTGTGTCCCCAGTCACACATAGGAACAGACGTACTCAACTACTTTCCATTAGTTCACTTGTTGGCCTCCAGACAAAATTTCTCGATCAAACAAGATTCGTTGAAGAATACGACGCAAAGGAAGGGGGCAGTTTCACTGTCTCTGTTGGGCTTCGCTATCAAAGCGAAATATGCGCATTGACCAGTTGCTTCTTTTGTAGTAGCACCCAAGCCACCAAAATGTTCACACCGACCAAGAACTCGATGTTCCAAGGAGGCTAATCCAAAATTCCTTGTCCATGTGAGTATTATTCACACTAGCGAGATTCAGTTGCGCGTGCTGAACACAATAGACTCTACCGTCAACCGCTGTGTATTGTGCACAGCATGATGGTGCCGTACCAGTGCAAACCTCAATATGTCTCTCGTAAAGGCAACGCCGAAGTGTCGTATAATCATGCGTTTAAAGGTGGGAAAATGTCACTGTTTTACGATTAACTGGATGCACTTAGCAGGGGCCATGGTTTTCAGTGTCTTATTTCAAAATAATCGAAAAATTACCAGCACCGAGGTTATGGGGATGCTGCACAGGCGTTAGTTGTGCTTTTCGTAAGCAAAGGAGAAAGCAGTGGAAACCAGTTAAGGAACCTTAGAAACTAAAGGGAACTAGCGGAGAGGCTGATGCTCGAGCAAAATTGAGCCACATGTTCCGCTTCAGAATAACATTTCCCTGCAAAGACCATCACGTGGGAGGAAGTCCCTTAGGCATGAACACGATAGTTCCTACGGCCAAAGGTATCCTGATTGCACGCTTATAATTGAAGGTGCACCGGAAATAGATATGAGACTGAGATTGCGCTCATTTATTTATAACTGATAAAGCGAGAACAAATATATATGGATTTAAATGGCTTTTCAGTAATTCCTCATGACTCATTCAGATGCACTACACAAAAAATCTAGAGCGACTTGCATTGCTTCGTGGGACGTCGAAGTGTGCACCCCTTTGGTCTGCTATTAGAAGCGAAGCTACACAAAACCACGCTAGCAGACAAACCTCCTGGCCATAGTGAGTGCGGAGGCGTGGCCAGATCATTAGTTCCCTCTGTTTCTCTCGTGTAAGTGTTGGAATAGGCCACGAAGTACCTCTAGGCGATAGATGCACTGTATCACATACGTTGGTCGAGATGAATAGAGAATCAGAGTTCGAGTAACCGCATGGACTGTGCAGCAGAAGTTGGCCCTTCAGAGACAAACGGTTTGTTCATCGAAAATGACAACATGTTTTGACCCGCATCAGTTTTTGGGCCCATGAGTTTCTTTCACGCAGTTTCACCCACCTCGATGAAACAGTGGGGCCGGAAAATGTCCACTAGTCAGTGGATCCGTCTTAACGGACAGCTACGCCTGTTCTTTCCAAATGCATGAATACGTTAAGTTCGATTCCTCTTGTTCATGAAGTACAGCCACTCGCAGACTGTGCACTCGGGCCTCGAGATGTCGGAATAAGCGGAGCAGACCAAAGATCCACATATGTAAGGCATGGTGTGGTGAGTCAAAGATGCGGTATCTAGCGAAGCTGGCTAGTTCAAACAGAAAATATCACTTTGCCGCGCACTGCCTTCAGTAATCTACCATTAAGTGGGATTTCAACCCGATCATTGACAAGTCATCATCGCATATAAGGTTGTGCGGTTCGATCATCTTTACTGTCATCCAAACGCCGAAATGGGAAGGAACCGGCTAGCTGACGTCCATCGCCATGGTAACTAAACAGCAACTGTGCACTGAAAATTATTGACGGACGCTGATCACGAAAGAGCAGATAAAAGGGTGGAGTAGTTATGTAAACAAATGACTAGGGGGCGTTGATGAAAAAAACCACCGAATGCTCAGTTGTATCGGACTAGATAAGAGTTGTAGCGGGCAACGTGTGTCTTCCGGCGCGAAAAGATCTGTCGCCCGTTTGTCATAAGTGCTCTTGCTCAATCGTCACCATACCACTCGGCAGTTTCAAACACAGATCGTACGCCGGGCAAATCTAGCGTGGAACCCCCGACTAGTTACTGCACAACAACTGGCGGATCTCGGTCCTCTCACCAAATACGACTAGCACTACGCGGACGCTGATGATCACAGATTGTCTAAATCTCCGTGCTTCCACGATCCGTGGTCACATTACTGCTTTTTACAACCACGCTAGTTGGGCTGCCATCTTGTACACTCTACTGATATCCCAACGTAGAAGACTGCAGGTTTGAGAGCAACAATACTTCACGGATGAGTAACAGCCAGTTCACCTTTAAACTGATCTCTAAAAATGGTATGGCATGGAGCAAATTAAAGGATCGGCGGACCTCGGTGTTTTGTTTTTGAAATAGCGGGAGTTGGGGAGATGTCAGCCCGATTCTGCAGCGGTATATTGCGGGTTGCAGTTGCTGCGCACACGAACCTTGCATCGTCCATGTGTGGACGGCGTTCAGCATTACTGTTAAGCACTCAGAAACCTAGTGGCAGTCCCAATTCATATGAAGCAGACAAGAGAAAAGTTTCTGTGATGGAAACAATATTAACACTAAGCGTGCTTGCTGCAGCCAGCTTATATTTATAATTGCAAGGAATCCGTGATGTCGCTTTCGTGGGAGAAGTATGCTCCTCTACCTCGACTTTCACTTCGAAAGATTAAACCAAGCAGGTGCGTTCAATGTATTTAAGGGCACCTCAAGTCAGTTAGTTGCAAATGAGCCTAGTGACGTATGGAATTAGACTTCAACCGGCACTCCAACGTGACACTAGATAGTTTATTACCAAACTCAAAAGAGGGCTCTGCAGTACGCATACGGTGCCACAGCAGACTGACAAATGTTCACAGGTGTCATTGGTCAAACGGGGCCCGTCTCAGTAGACTCAGCTTACGATGGCCAAGCCGCTGGCTAGTACGGTAACACTGATCACACTGCATCGTTATATGCCGTCCATTAACCACTAGGCTTTTTGCCGTGGTTCAGCATGCGATACTGTCAAGTACCCAGCGAGGTGGAAACATTTGATCAGTGCATCTTCAAGGACGAGTGTTAGTCTGACTTTTATCGAGTCGGTCACAATGCGGACCAGCAAGTTACCGCAGAATAGCACGAGCGAGTAACTTGAAGCCGATGGAGACAAAACAAATACAACAGTGTTTTTTGCATGACAGCAGTTAAAAACTGGGATATCAATGGCTCTTCCTCGTTCTAAGCGGTGCCAAAGCGACAAAACAGACCAGTTACCGCTGCTTTTTGAAAAACGTGTCCAAGAGCTGCCCGAAGATTACACTTTTTCCACCTCCGATCTGATCGAACGCAACTGTTCTAGAGTCAATTTCCCGAGCTTGTTCCAGTGATCCAACTTACAGTTGGGTCAGAACAGCTCCTCGCATTTTTAAGCTCAGTACAGCTTGTTATGGTTCCACTTAGCAGGACCTCTTCTGCACCAATCCGTCGAAAGAGTTGGAACATCATTTTGGTGTTCCCAATAAGAATAGTTTCCATCTTACGTATTCCCATCATCCACCAACTTACCCCCGTACTCTCGGTCAGATGTCGCCTCAAATTGCGACGGGCACCATGAATCTGAGATCCGAAAGAATAATCACCTTTTCTCATATCAGACTTACATAATTTTTCAAGACTTGTCAATGATGAACAAGCATGTCTCATTAGAAGCAGTTTCTGTCTACTTGCTGTCCAATTAGACTTATCAAAGCTCCAGAAACCCATCCAGTATTCGAACGACTGGCGTCTTGTGGACAGTCGACATCGTTTTTTTATGGTGCATTAGGGCTGATTCTAATCCGCATTCGATTCGGATACTTCGTCCGTCAGTGATAACTGAGGATACTATTCGGATCGGTATTGTTGCCTCACGGATTTCGGATATACTTGGTGAGCAAGCACTTTCGAACTTGAGTACATCACTATAACCGGAAGAGTAAATATTACACAAGCGTGCTGTACCTGGAATGACAACCTTGAAGTAATTTGTATCATCCATTG